CTACGGTGAGCGCTGTGAATTGTGCAAGACTGTTGAATCACAGGTCTATACCTCTGAAACAAATAATACATTATATGTTTAAAAAAAAAACAGGAGGGGAAGAATGAAGCGGGGGAAATCGGAGGGGGAGATGAACCATGAGACGGTGGACTCTGAAAAACAAACTGAGGGTTCTAGAGGGGAGGAGGGTGGGGGGATGGGTTAGCCTGGTGATGGGTATTAAAGAGGGCATGTATTGAATGGAGCACTGGGTGTTATACTCAAACAATGAATCATGGAACACTACATCACAAACTAACTATGTAATGTATGGTGATTAACATAACATAATAAAAAGAAAAGTTGAAAAAAAAATAGATTGCTGGTGGAACTAAAGCTGGGGAGAACCAGATGCAGAACTTATATGTTTCAAGTATTCTGACTACCCCTGGAAACCTACCTGCCAGAAAAGTCTACTCTTCTGGTGAACCTTGTGGCTTCCTTCTGGTAGATCGATCTTAACCAGCCTCTTCTTTCAACCAACACTGCAACCATAAAAGCCACTATTGGAACGTAGTCTAGCATTAAGCTCCAAGTACCTCTGGCCATGTTGGCCAGATATTTGAGATTCTGCCCTCCCACTGGAAGAAAAAAGTAGCCTTCACCAAAGCTTGGTGGTCAGAAGTATGATTCATGATATGAGGTATTTCGCTTCTTTGGAAGACCAAAAAATTTGAGCTTCAAAATGTTTTTCTTCCCTTTCATGATTTCAAAGACAGTTCTTTTGTGCCAGCAGAGCTACAAGTCTTTCAAATCTTGGTCTGAAAAGAACTGTTTGAGGACAAAGGAGAATATACCTCAGGAAAACAGAGCTGGAGCTGGGAGTTTTGGGTTTTTGGTTCCTTTTTCTGTGAAAACAAAAGCCTGACCTTATGAAAAGAGGTTCTCCCCTGAGGGGCGTCTACCAGAGTTCAAGCTCAGCAGTGATCTAGCCTGAGTAGGAGAGAATTTTCTAGATTTTCTCAGAGATTGATTCAGGGTATGGGAAGGGATGACTCTCTCTAGTCATGTGCAGTGGACCAATGTGACTGGATTAGCATGGCCACAAATCTTTGTTCACATACATTTCTCTGTCCTTCCTCTTAGGTGGATCATTTGGACAAGAATGGGCAGTGTGCTTTGGTCCATGCTGCACTCCGAGGTCACCTGGAGGTTGTCAAGTTTTTGATTCAGTGTGACTGGACGATGGCTGGCCAGCAGCAAGGAGTATTTAAGAAGAGCCATGCCATCCAGCAGGCCCTCATTGCTGCAGCCAGCATGGGGTACACGGAGGTAAGAAAGCAAGTGATAAGGTTTAGGGTTTTTAGTTTTTTTCAGGCTGTGTATTGAAGGACCTAGGAGATGGGAAAAGGGTGGCATTATTACAAAATTAGCTGCCTAATTAATGTGGATTAGCGTTTTGGTCACTGTTTTGAGGAATAGGAGACTGAACTCCATGAAGCGCTTGAATTCTCAAATAGCATATCTAGAATTATGAACACAGCCCTTGAGAGTGGAAAAGAATTTTGGAAATCATCTAATCCAATTCCTCCCCATCTTGCCACCCTTATTTAACAGACAGTGACACTCAGCTCCTGGGGATTATTTATTGACCTTTGCTCACATGGGTAGGCAGTGTGGAATGGGAAGAGCACCACATTTGAAATCTCAGAAGGACCAGGTTGGAGTCCCAGTTTACTACTCATTCACTCTGGACCTTGGGCAGTTTACCTAATCTCTTAGAACCTTCGTTTCTCATCAGTAAAATTAGTCTAATATATTCTTTTTTACACAGCTGGTATGAAAGGTGCTTTGTAAGCTGTTAAACACTATACAAACAGTATTTTTGCTAAATTGTTTTACGAATCATAATAATAATATGGTAACAAATGTATGGAACCGATAATTGCTAGGAAATGTTGAACATCCAGTTCCGGGAGGGTTGTGTAGTAGAGCGGAAGTGTGTGTGTGTGTGTGTGTGTGTGTGTGTGTGTGTGTGTGTGTGTG